CTGTAATTTTTTTTTTGATGAAAATTAACAAGTATTTGCAAGGATGAGGAGACATTGGAACCCTCATGCATTGCTGGGAAAGTAAAAAGGTGCAACCACTGTGGAAAACAGTTTGTCATTTTCTCACAAAGTTAATTGTAGAGTTACCAAACTGCTCATGTGCTTGGATTTTTAAAGTCACGTTATTCGTAATAGCCAAAAAGTGGGAACAACCCAAATGTCCAATAACTGATGGACTTCATCTTTTTCCATAGTATAATTCAATGGAATATTATTGGAAATAAAAAGGAACAAAGTACAGATATAGTCAACAGCACGGGCGAATTTGAAAACATGCTAAGCAAAAGAAATCAGACACAAAAGGCCATATACTGTGTGATTCCATTTATGTGAGCTCTCCAGAAGGAACAAATTCCCAGAGACAGAAAGTAGATTAGTGTTTGCCAGGGGCTGAGGAGAAAGGGGAATGGGCAGTGATTGTTAACGGGTATGGGGTTTCTTTTTGGAGTGAGGACATGTTCTGGAATTAGATGGTAGTCTGGATTTTACCACCTTGTGGGCATACTAAAAACCACTGAATAGTGTACACTTAAAAAAGGTGAATCTTAAGCTATGTAAATTATATATCAATAAAAATTTTGTCGAGATGTAAATAAAAAGACTGGAAATCTAGGGCAAAAGAAAACAGGATGAATGCAAGATGAGGAAAGGAAATTCAGTACAAGTCATGTTGGCGGACACTAGCTGTGGTAGTGCCTGTGGGAATCAGAGCAGTCCTGCCTCCAACACAAGAAGCCCTGTGATCTGTACCAGGAGTAACAGCCTCCACTAGGGGCTCTGCAGAAGCACAAATTCTCCTGGGGCTGATATTTGAGAGTCAAATTTCCTGCAGTTTAGATATTTCCATCAGTTTAGCAAAATCTGGATAGGCTATAAGGCTGACAACTGTGTCCAAAGCAATAATCACTTGAGAACTTTTCCAGGTGCCCCATCACGCTGCATTGTACAGCATATTCTTTAACATGTTTATTTCATTTTGCAATTCACTAAGTGCTTGCTGAGCACTTGCCCATTTTCCTTTATTTGCAAAATGCAGGAATTTAACCTATCTTTGAGCACAATTTGGGAATAAGGTTTAAGTTTCTGTGATACAATGTTGCCATTTAAAAATAAAGGTAACATAATGCTCCTACCCCCTTTTGAGACTATAGTGTTCCATTTTATTAACATCTTTTCTACTTTTTTTTTTTTTTTTTTTCCTTTTTTATGTTTTGCTATTTACTGGTCAAAACCACTTTAGCTCATTCAGATTCAGAAAGGAGACTATAAACATATATGCCATGTTAATGCAGGATATTGTTTCATTATGAATGTGCCTATATTGTTAATTTCATCTAAATAGTACATGCAGTATTTATAGGAGGCTAAAAGGCATAAAGTATTCTTGTATGTGAAACGCTCCAATTAAAAAGAGTTATGTTAGCTGTTAAGTAAGTTTTAAAAAGATGTTTATTCAATTCAAACGCAGAATTGATAAAATTTTATCCTTAAAACTGTAAAGAACAAAAAGCTGGAATTACCCATCAACAGTACAATAGAATTCCAGTTTATTCTGAGAGCAGAACAGCCAAGATGAACAAACGAGTCTTGTAATTGCATACCAGAGGTCAAAAATTAGCCCTACCAAATGAGGAGGGAGAGGAATTGCTGAGACCTAGAAGAAAGGTCATAATATTTGGACTGAATAAAAGCAATTCACTAATAGCAATTTCCCTTTATCTGACAGCAATTGTAGAAAGTTTTAACAAATCCTGTTAAAATGGACAAAAACTATTTCCTGAATAGTTAAGAAAAGATTATAATAAATGTCAAGTATTCTACAGCATGTATAGAATCTCATTTCCAAGGGAGCATGCTGTTTTCTTCAGCATCCTGTTAGCCAAGTTCCAATTTTGGACAGGTCCTAGGAAACACAACATTGTTAAAGACAGAGATGAAACAAAGTGATTAATTGTAAGCATATTTCTATAGATAGTATTGCACTTGGAATGTGTAAAAATCTCTCTGAAGCTTGGTAGAGATAAGGGTTGTAAACAGATTTGAAATCCACACAGCAATAGATCACATGCTAATCTTTGCCCAAAGTTCTATGTTGTTGAGAATGATTCTGATATATTATTTTAAAGGAGAGAGTGTCGTATGAATTCCAGATCTTTGTCATGGACAAAGAATCTACGTGCTATTCATTTGTGGTTCCTGATTCATTTGTTCTTTGAGAGATTAGCTAAAATGAAGGGAGTGGGTAAAAGAACCACCAATTCTTTTCCTGTGTCTACAGTAAATACAAACAGATCTCCAGCCATTACTACATCTCTCCCTCCTGTCAGATGGAAGATGTAACATCTTCCACGAACGCTTACTTTGTTACTACAAAATGGAAAGAGACACTTCTACTGTGGTGAAATGTATATGTGGTGAAATGAAATGTATACCCAAATAATTTAGGCCACAAAATACCCTACTTTAGCCAGAATGATAAGAGTAATCTACTTTTTCCATTTCACTCTGAGCATACTGTCCTACATACATTTTATTTATTCGTTCCTTGCTACAATGTGAAGGCAGAATATACTTTTTAAAATAATTATTCATCAACATTTAAGACAAATGATCAAAGCTTGAGTTTATTGCTATACAATGTTGCTCTTTCATCTTTATTTCTGAACAGCAAATCTCATCAAGCATGATTGAGTTTTGCTTACTTGTATCTTCTCCCATACTAACGCATTTACTATGTGTATAGCTCTTCAGAATAAAATTAGATAGGAGTAAACCAGTACAATTCAGCAGCATCAGTGACTTAACCAAACATATAAAAGTCTTTCCCGACTGACCCTGAATGACCATTTAGCCCCCTTTCAAATTTTGGCATCAAATTTCTACTTACAAAAAGTATATAGTTTCAATCAGGAGGGCAGAGCATTGATGACCGCAAGTAACAAGAAAAATGAACGCTACGAAGACGCACATAAAATAATAAAGGAAAAAAGCAAGAAAATGATAGCAAAGAGAGGTGGGGATTTACTTGTTGTCAGAGGAGGAAACACTTATTTTTCTACTGTGAAAGAAGGAGAAATAACCCAGTCTAAAAAAAGAGGTGCTTTCTTGAAATGGTTTCTGCTAGATTCCCCATTATTTTAGATATGATGGGAGCTGGAGTTGTGCAGAATATTTTGGGATGCTTTCCACATGGATTTATGATTCTCAAAAAGAATCGGCATCAATTAAACTATAGTTGACCCTTGGACAGTATGGGGGTCAGGGGAACGGACCCCCTACACAGTAGAAAATTCATGTACAATTTTGACTCCTCATAAACTTAGCTACTAATACCCTACTGTTGTAAGAAAATCATAAGGAAGATAAAATATACTTACTGTTTATTAAGTGGAAGTGGATCATCAGAAAGACTTTCATCCTCATCGTCTTCACATTGAGTGGGCTGAAGAGGAGGAGGAAGAGACATTGAGTGGGCTGAAGAGGAGGAGGAAGAGGAGGGGTTAGTCTTGCTGTGTTAGGGGTGGCAGAGGAGGAAGAAAATCCATGCAAAAGCGGACCCTCCCAGTTCAAACCCCTGTTGTTCAAGGGTCAACCGCACAATCAAGTTTTGATGAGAAGACTCAGTTTTCAAACTTGATTTTAAGCAGGTATGTATCTAGGTACTCAAATTCAGATGTAATATTACATGGAATTTAAACACTCCTGGTTAAGCAGAAATAGAAGAATCGTTACCTAAGTAGAAATCAACCTATGGGAGGAAAGCTCAGGAAAGAGCCAGGGTCCTGGCATAATAAAGAGTTGTAGGCATGACATATGTTTGTGTTTATTCGTGTATATCTGTCGTTTGGAAATAAAGAGCAGATTGAGTATTGGATTAGGGGAAACATATTTCTTGTGAGAGAGCCATCCTTTGAGCATCACATTTGCAAAGGTAGATTGATTATCCGGATACACTTCCAGTGAGTTTTGCTGCAAGCTTGAGACATCTATTGACAGCATCCATAGACTCTTCAGAGCTTGGAGTAGAAAGGAACTTGAACTTAGAACACATGGAAATTTGTTACGTGACTGAAGTCTTCTCTCACTTTTGCTTCGGAAACACTTAAAACCACGTACTTTGCGGTAGGCAATGTTCTACATTTATTAAATATACAGTTAACTCATCCAATCCGTTGCAACCACCTTATAAGGGCGTTACTCTAATTCTCTCCATTTGATGGATGGATAACTGAGGCTGGGAGATAAATTGCTCATTGCGGGGCAGGTGAAATTCCAGCCCAGGCTATCCGGGCTTTAGATCCTGTACTTTTAACCAATAGCGCTTTGCTTCTTTTCCTTGTATTTATCCCTTTCAAAAATGATTAACTGTATGCAAAATAATATAACTAACGACAGGGCCGGCAAGGGTTAACGCGGAAACAGATCCCCGAGCTGAAAAAACAAAAACAAAGCGGGGAGCCAGATCCCCTGAAAGCCCCGGTAGGAAATTCAATGGGCCTCCTGTTCCTTTAAACTCTCGCTTTCGCCCCCGCTGACACTTTACAAAGCCGCGGCGGCAACCGCGAGGACCACGCTGCGGCGCGCCACCCTCCGCTACCCTCCCGCGCGGGGCTGGGGTCCGAGGGGGCTTCGCGGAGTCGGTAACCCAACTGGCTCTCGTTTGCTTTCTCCACACCCAGCCACTGCCAGACCCAGCCTCCGGGAGGGAGCGAGCTATGGTTAACCCTTTCGTGCCCAGGGAGACCCCGCCAGGGTTGGAGCGGGGCGCGATCGCCCCCCGCAGTGGGGCGCGAAGGCGGCCCGGGCGCCAGGTGGGTGGGGGGAGCAGTTGGCGGAGCTGCCCAGGACGCGCGAGCAGGGTGCGGCGATGGCGCCCAGGCAGCGCGGAGGTACCGCCCCGCGCTCCCCCGCTAGCTCCCCGGACTCGTCCCCTCTCCCCGCGCTCGGGGGCAGCCGGCTGCCTGGGCGCGCGGGGCTGGAGTGGCCCTCTCCCTCCCCTTCGCTAGGCTCCCCCGGCTTAATCTGTTGGCGGCGACTCCTCAGCCAGCCCCGAGGAAAGTGCAGTCATTGGACAGGTCGGTGCGGGCTGCGGGTTTCAGGGAGGAAGGTGGGAGAAGCCTGGAGGAGCGAAGGGGAGGGCGGAGGGAGGAGGGAGGAGGGTGGAGGGTGCGGCGGCAGATCTGGCAAATTGCGAGCTGCCTTCCCTCCTCAAAGTGTGGAGCAGGAGCGCTGGGGAGCGTGGCGACGGCAGCGCCTCCTCCGCCACCAAACTCCTGGGGCTCCGCGGGGGCTTGGGGCCACCTCCTCCTGAGCCTGGAGGAACCCTCTCCCGATAGGTTCTAGCCTGACTCCCTCCCACCCCACCCTTTTCCTTTCTTCTTCCTCTCTCTCTCTTTAAAAAAAAAAAAAAAAACACACACACACACACTTTTTTTTTTTTTCCTGGCTTCGGACCTCAGACTGCTGCAGCCCGAACCTTCCCAGGGCTCAGCTCTTTGGAGCTGCCCATTCCTCCGGCTGCGAGAACGGACGCGCGCCCTGCGTCGGGCGAAGAAAAGCAAAACTTGTCGGGAGGGTTTCGCCATCAACCTCCTTCCCGCAAACCTAAAAACCTCCTGCCGGGGCCATCCCGAGACAGAGGAAAGTTCCTGCAGAGCCGACCAGCCCTAGTGGATCTGGAGCAGGCAGCAGCGGCGCTGGCTGTGGAATTAGATCTGTTTTGAACCCAGTGGAGCGCATCGCTGGGGCTCGGAAGTCACCGTCTGCGGGCACCGGGGTGGCGCTGTCCGAGTGGAACCAACAGTTTGCGAGCCCCGGCTGCAAGTGGCCTTTCCTCCCCGCAGTTGTTGTTCAGAGTCGGGTAAGGGCTGCGAGTGTGGCAAGTTGCAAAGAGAGCCCCACAGGTCCGGAGAGGGCTGCGCTCCTGCTAGCGTTCGCTTCTTCCTCCTCTCGGTTCCCTACTGTGAAATCGCAGGGACATTTACAAAGGCCTCCAGGTCCCACCGAGACCGATCCGCAGCGCTTGGCCCGGTCGCGCCTCTTGCATCGGGAGCCCCAGAGCACCGGCGAAGGACTGGCGGGCTGGGTAGGGAGGTGGCGGCGGCGGCATGGCGAGGTTCCCGAGGGCCGACCTGGCCGCTGCAGGAGTTGTGTTACTTTGCCACTTCTTTACGGACCAGTTTCGGTTCGCCGATGGGAAACCCGGAGACCAAATCCTTGGTAAGTAAGATGCACCTTGGCTTTTTGATTTTGTGCGCAGCTGAAGACCTTCCTGGAACTCTCGTTCTCCTCCCCCCCCCCCCCCCCCCCACTCTCTCCCCCTACATCACCTGTCTGCCCTTGGGAAACTTATTGCAGTTGCTTTTCGGGTAAACTTAGGATTCCCAAATGGGGAAAAGAGGGTTAACAAGAGAAGGCCGCCGGGGACTAGGGGTTTTCTTGAGGCTTTCGGGCTTACTTCACCTGGGCGGCAGGGGGTGGTACTGTCTCCCCTAAGTAGCCCCGGGAGGGCTCCAGTGTGAGAGCAAGCTGCTTCTGTGGATACATCTCCTAGGACCTGGCATCTCCAGGCTGTGTGCTCTACGGCTCCTCCTCCTTCCTCGCTGCTGGTTAAACTAAGCGAGTGTGTGATGTGGGGTGGGTGGGGGACTTGGTGAAAGCCAGGGATTGCCGGTCTCCCCTCTGCATGAGAAAATTCCCTGTGGCAGCAGCTTCCTTCCCCTGGCGATCCCCAGTAGCTCAGTCTAGTGAACCGGGCCTAGCGGGCCCTGGAAGTGGGGCGGGGTAGGTGCGGCCGGCGCAGAGGTGGGGAGCAGGTGGGAAAGGTGGGGGCGGGCGCGCCTCTGGATGCTTACCCCTGCTCCCATTGTCCTCCGCCTGCCAGCTTCACAGACAGGCCTGAACACGCAGAGGGTTCCTCAGAGTGCCCTGATTTTGTCCCCGGGAGGACCCCCAACCTCCGCATCCTCTTAGTGGCTGTCCTGGCAGGTGCGCGTCCTGCAGGGAGCCGCGCCCCGCGGACGATCGCCGAGCGGAAGGCGCAGGGCTGCCTCCTGGGACCCTGCCCACCGCGAGCTCGGTGCCTACTCCCCATTTCTGCCTTTCAGTGAAGAAAGTGAAGACACAGGCAGAAAGAGATCTTGGCAGAAATTAGTGAATTCGGGTGGACTTTGAGAGGAAGTGAAACGAGAAAAAAAAAGAAAAAAACTTGGAGGGAAAATAAAAGAAAACGAAAACTTACTGCTTAGGATAATCAATTTGTTCTTTTCTGGTGTGTGTGTGTGTGTGTGTAATTTAAATGGTGTGTGTGTGTGTGTGTGTGTGTGTGTGTGTGTAATTTAAATGATTGCCCAGAAAGTATGCATGCGTCCTCAACAGTCAAACTTGAGAGTCACAGATGGAAGGCTGGGGCTACACCTGGGGATGCCAGGCAAGGTGAATCTTGAAGATCTTGAAGGAAACCCTTGAGTGAAATTTACCAAGCCGCGACTTAGAAGACAGTCACAACACTTCGCCTGTCCCTGGTGGAAACTGTTCTAGATAAAACACAGATACTGACTCTGCGCTCTTATTGATGGTTGGAGGAGTGTGTGTGTTGGGGTATATGTGTAGGGAGGCAATAGGATGACAATACTTTTAAAGCTGAGAATAAAATGCAGATTTCTTGGGTGTTGATTTGTCTTTGTCACATTTAATTGTTCTGCATTAATGGACATAGGTTGTCCTTGACTGTGTATGATTTATGACAGTAGACTATACCTTTTGTTGATTTCTCTGATATATTTCACTGGTCAGAAAAAAATAACACTTTTAGCCTTCCAGGAAAGAACACGTTTATTTAAAAATTGCGACAGTAATTTTCATGTACTTATTCATGGTATGAATAGATGCTTAATGAAAACAATTTATTCCACCACAAACGAGGCTAAAAGGATGTGTGTGCCAACTTGCATCCCAAGTTGTTTATTTAAAAACTTCTTTGGCACTAGGAATAAATACTGCATTTGCAGTAAAAATAAATAAATAAATGCCAGCAAATGTTTATCTTTTTATAAACCTTTTCCAGTAATGTTACTGAAAAAAGAATATATGTACACACACACACACACATACACACACACACACACACACATTTGCTGTGCCAAGAAGTTCAGAAATTGAGGATGAAATTCATCCCGAAGTAAGATTGGCCATATAATTAAAAGCTCTTGCTGTGGGAAATATAAAATACTTAAAATGTTCAACATCAATGTACTGGTATTTTAAGCTAGTTGAATATTTCTGATGAGAAATATACTCTAGAAGCCCATATATTGATAGGATTGATTTTTAAAAGAATGGTTTTAAATTCCTTGGCAAATTTTCGAAGACTTTTATAAACCAAAGTAACTTCTTTCCTGGACATCAATTTACATGTAGTTTTAAGAAGAAAATATTATAATTAAATGGTTAGCTTACTGAATATATAAAAATGGCAAGGTGAAACAGAAAAAATACACAATTTTTTTGTAAAATAGTCTATATAAAAGTTCGATATGGGGGGAAAAGTCCAACAGTCTTGAAATTTGGCACGCAACAATCATTTTTATTACAGACATTTTGGCACAGGAGAAATATCTGATTTCATAACCGGGACATTTTATTATGCATTACTTTAGTAAATGCTGCAGTTGATTTTATTGCCACCAGAGGGCAGAGAAACTGCTAATTTCCTCTATTCCCTTTTCTGTTTTAGAGGGAAGTAGTTTATCATATAATTTACACTTATTTTAGTTGTTCTTTTTCTGGTTAAAGATTTTTTCTGCCATTTCCTGTTTTTGTTGGAGTTAAACAATTTACTTTGAATTATTACTAGTTTGTAGAGTTTGTTATGAGAGTGTTGCTGTTGAGACATAATCACTAAAGTTTGTTTGCATATAAACCTAGAGCAAAATCGTATAATAGAGGGGTTAATTCAAGTGAATATTTATTATAAAATGGACATCTGTCCATATTGTTGGACAAAGGACAGGTTAATTATTTTATCAATCAATGACTTGAGGCTACATGCAAAATTTTAAAAGTATGAAATGTGAGTTTCTTTTTCCTTTAGAGAATAGATACAAGTTTTGAAGCTTGAGGTTAGGTAAGTTTGGACTGAGATATAATTGCAGTGTAGAACATTTATGTCAAAGATAATGTTTTTGTTTGTTCATGAATGTCTGCATAGAGGTTTGGAATTATTATTATTATTATTATTTTGAGTAGCAGTCTCACTCTGTCGCTCAGGCGCACTGCAATGGCACAATCTCCGGCTCAAGGCAACCTCTGCCTCCCGGGTTCAAGCAATTCTCTTGCCTCAGCCTCCCGAGTAGCTGGGATTACAGGCGCCCACCAACATGCCTGGCTATTTTTGTATTTTTAGTAGAGACAGGGTTTCACCATATTGGCCAGGCTGGTCTCAAACTCCTGACCTCGTGATCCGCCTACCTCGGCCTCCCAAAGTGCTGGGATTACAGGCTTGACCCACCGCACCCAGCCTGGAATTATTATAATCAGGAGAATTTGCACATTTCAGTGTGATCTTCAGAAATAAACTCTTGTCAGGGAGAATGTAGTTGAATAAAACTTAATAATGAAAGATTAATTTTGCTCCAGACAGGTTTCCTTACTACAAGAATCAGATACTCTCATGCAGAGATGTAGAAAATACGTGTCCTTATCAATTAGTTTCTGTCATTTTTTCCTAAAACTATCTCCTATTGCAGACACATTATGTTTTTAAAGAGGAATGACTTGATCAACAACCTTGATCACGGGATCTAAAGTCTTCAGCTGCAGGCTGGGCGCCATAGCTCACACCTGTAATCCCAGCACTTTGGGAGGTCGAGGTGGGCAGATCACCTGAGGTCAGGAGTTCGAGACCAGCCTGGCCAACATAGTGAAACCCCATCTCTACTAAAAATACAAAAATTAGCTGGGCGTGGTGGTGGACACCTGTAATCTTAGCTATACTTGGGAGGCTGAGGCAGGAGAATCGCTTGAACCCAGGAGGTGGAGGTAGCAGTGAGCCGAGATAGCACCATTGCACTCCAGCCTTGGGGGGGAGGGTGACAAAGGGAGACTCTGCCTCAAAAAAATAAAAACAAGTAAATAAACAAACAAATAAATAAAGTATTCAGTTACTTCCTCATCACATTAAATACATTCTCTTCTCCATGGTCTTCAAGGCTATTGCAGTGTGGCCTCAGCACTTTCCCACCCTCTCCCCTGCCTGTTCTTGAATGCTCTCACCAGATGAGCTGCTGGAGGTTCCCTGAGTGTGTACCATGCATTAACACTTCTGCCATTCCTCCTGCTCTTCCTTCTCTAAGTCCGTCTCCATCCATCCATTTTCCAATTTTTCCTACAGATTTATCTCAAGTGACACTCTCCACAAAAGGACGTGTTGTCTTAGAATTCTCAGTGCACTTTATGCCTTCTTCAAAGGCACTTGCTTGATACTGTAGGGTTTCCTTTTCTTTCCATTTCTGCCTCTCTCTCATGTATTCCATTAGACCAGACCATACGTCCCTGAGGTCAGGGTCTGTTGTCATTTATTTCTGAATCTGCTGTGGCAACTACCAATAAATAGTTGCAATAAATGATTATTGGACTTAATTGAACTGAATAGAACTATAGTTCAAGCTGAATTATTAATTTGAATGCCACCTTGGGAGACTTTTAAAATAATTCCCATGCTGAGAGTTTGTCCATCAATAGGATAGAAATAAATTTAAAACTAACTTTAGAGAGTAATTGTTGAAACCAAAGCACAAGATCCAGAAGTCTGCTAAACTATCCTTCTACTATTAGGTGGGACTTTCAAAAATTCATTCGACCATTCTTCTATCCTGCTGGTTTCTGAGTGAATGTTCACTCATGTTCTTAATCTCATATCTTTTTTCTTTTATACATTTCTTTAAAAAATTTCTTTGTTTTAATTTTTAATTTTTAATAATATGTATTTAAGCTATGCAACATGATGCTTGTTTATTTTCAAATTCCATGTATAAGAGAAAATCAAATTGCATTTGTATTTCTGTGTCTGAATTATTTTACTTAGCACAATGTCCCCCAGCTTCATCCATGCTATCACAAATAGCAAAATCTTTTTTAAGGCTAAATAATATTCCATTGTGCGTATATATATGCACTATATATGTGATATATAGAATACATGTGCACTATCTATGCAATAT